CCCCTTCTTTTCCCTCCTTTTTTTTTTTTTTTTTTTTTTAAGAGAGGCTTTTGCTATGCGGCGCGTGCGCTTGCCAGAAAGACAGAGAGAGACAGAGAGAAAGAAAGCGAGAAATCACCCCCCAGGGGGATGGCCACGCCACAATCCCTTCTCCTCTATTCTCCTCTCGGGATCTTGGGTATGTACGCACATGTGCCTGGCGTGAGTTTAAGCCACTGGGTTTGGGACTTGAACCACGGTCAACTACGTGGGAGTCCAGCGACATAGCCATTACGTCAACTGCTAGTCCCCTCCGCTCTCCTCTCAGGATTTTGGGCATGCAAGAACTCACACCCAGCATGATTTTCAAGCTGCCAGGTCTGGAACTTGAACCGCAGTCAACCATGAGGGAGTCCAGCGCCTTAACCACCATGCCACCTACTGGCCCCAACACTTGTTATTTTCTAGGTAACAGCCACCTAACGGGTGTGAGTAATTCTTTCTATAAGCTTTTGCTGTGCAAATTACTGGGTGTCTTCAGACTCCTGTCTGGGCCTGACTGATACACACCCCCATGAAGTGGTCTGTGGAGAGGCTGAACTTCGCACCATCCATTCCCCCGCCTGGTGGTAGCATTTAACTCCTCCTTTTTGCTATAGGATGAATGTGCTTGCCAGCGAGACAGAGAGAGGGAGACTGAGAAATCACATCCCCTGGGGGATGGCCACACTGCAATCCCGTCTCCATTTTCCTCTCGGCATTTTGGGCATGCGTGAACATGCATCTGGCATGACTTTTGAGCCACCAGGTCCAGGACTCTACCCGTGGTCAGACACATGAGAATCCGGTGCCTTAGCCAACACACTACCTGCTGACCCTGGAACTCTTCTGTAAAAAGTTTAGGGACCAGTAGTTAGCATAAGGGCTCTGTTGCTCGATTCCCATGTAGTCAACCATGGTTTGAGTCCCGGACCTGGTGGCCTAAACTCACGCCAGGCGCGTGTGCGTGCGTGCCCAAGATCCCGAGAGGAGAATGGAGGAGAAGGGATTGCGGCGTGGCCATCCCCCCTGGGGGGTGATTTCTCGCTTTCTGCCCCTCTCTGTCTTTCTGGCGAGAGCATGCGCCCTATAGCAGAAAAAAGTAACTTTTTATTTATCCATTTATTGTTATTATTTTTTACATTTGACCAGAAAGGGGGGAGAGAGAGAGAGGGGGGGGGGGAAGCAAATTGTCAGGTCCAGGACTCAAACTGTGGTCAGCCATAGGGAAGCCCAGCGCCCTTAGCCACCGCACCACCTGCCGGCCCCTCCATGTGTTTCACCGTGCCATACCGCCTTGATAGTCTGTGAGCACTGCAAAAGTTCCTGCTGCCGTTATTAATGAACGCTGGAAGCACCACAGTCCACTCCATCAAAGCCGAAACCAGGAGGAGGAGCTGGGAGTCCGGTGGGTTCTCAAACAGAGATGTCCACCCGGCCGGCTGGAGGGCTGGGGGAGGATGGCAGCACGGCCTGTTGTCAGAGGTCTGTCTGTCTCTCTCTCGTATAGAATAAATAAATACATAAACTTTACAAAATAATTTCAAAAACTAAAGATGCGCTCAAATGCGTAACAACATCAGTACTACAAACTGAAACAAGACTGGAGTCAGTTTTTCTCCTCTCCGCTTGGCAAAGACGAAAGAGTCTGATTCGTGGGCCAGCAGGTGGCGTGGAGGATGCAGCTCTGGATCCCACGTGGCTGACTGTGGTTGGAGTCCCAGACCTGGCGGCTTAAATATCATGACAGGCCCGAGTACGTGCATGCCCCGAATCCTGAGAGTGGAGAAGGGACTGCAGCATGGCCATGCCTGTGTGTGTGTGTGTGTGGGGGGTGATCTCTCTTCCTTTTTCCTCTCTCTCCAGCAAGCACACACACCCTCTGGCAAAAATGTAAAAGAAGTCTGATTGGTGATCTTAGCCCCGTGAGAAACGAGCTCTCTCATACCCTACGGTCAGGAGGACGTGTTGCTGCAACGTCTATGGAGGGAAATTGGGCCGTGGAAATTACAATGCACAGACCTTT